ATAGTCTCAGGTATTTGTCATAGTGCTGGAAAACAGACTGACACGGGAACCACAGGACATTATTCAGCAATAAAAAGAAATAAATGGGAAAACATGGAGGAAATGCAAATACCTATCTCATTTAGTGAAAAATTCAATCTGAACATCCCCAGGTACTTTCTAAGTCCAGCTGGAGGGCATCTGGAGGAGGGAGAGCCCTCGAGAGAGAGTCAAAGCTTGGCACTGCCAGAGTTTTAAGAATGAAGGGTGGAAGGCAAGGTTTTTACAGCAGTGAAACTCCTCCTGAGGTGACTATAAGTGTGGGTGTGTCTCATTAGACAGTTGTCAAAACCTGTACTAAATAGAACACCAAGAGAGATCCTTGATGTGGACTATGGACTTTAGGTAATAATAATAATGCACAATACCCATGTACCGGTCATGACAAGTGTATCACAAGAATGCAAAATGCAAGCCAGGCATGGTGGTGCACGCCTGTAATCCCAGCACTCAGGAGGCTGAGGCAGGAGGATTGTTGCGAGTTCGAGATCACCTTGGGCTACAAAGTGAGCTCAAGGCCATCCTGAACTGCATAGTGAGACCTTGTCACAAAAAAAGAGTGCACGATGCTAGTGATAGGGGGAATGGCAGCATGACCAATGAAAGAAGTAACTGATAAGCTCTGCCTCATGGAAATGAAAATCTCCCACCCTGCAAAAGATGCTGCTCAGAGACCGAAATGAGTCCCATCCTGGGGGAACTGTGTGCAAACCTTTCAGCAAGCACTGAGCTCTCTGTACTTTGTGGTCATTTTTCTGTGAAGCTAAACTAAACAAGCCTGTTAATTAAAAAACAAATATATCGATCCTCTCATTAGAGAAGGGGCAAAAGATACGATTCACATTTCCCTAGAAAGGCCTGATAAGTGGGAAATAAGAACATGAAAAGACCTTTGACATCATTTATGATCAGGGAAATGCAAGGCAGCCATGCTGAGCTATTGCTACACATCTGTCAGAACAGGTAAAACCAGCCAGGTGTGGTGCACACGCCTGCAGTCCCAGCGCTCTGGGAGGCTGCAGCAGGAGGATCGCAAGTTGAGGCAACTTGGCAACTTAGGGACACCCTGTGTGCAAATAAGAAAAAAGCCTGGGAATGTAACTCATTTTGAAGGTCCTAGGTTCAATCTTTAGTATCACAAAAACAAGCAAATAAACACACTAGTAAAATTTAAAAATTTAAAATGTTAAATGTAACATCTCTTAGTAAGCGGATGGATGCCGTGGTACCAAATCTCTGCGGTACAGCTATGAAAAGGAATATTGTGCAGCCATAGGATGGGGCTCATGGGCATTAGATTAAGTTAAAGAAAGGCATCTCAAGGCCCACACGACGGCTGGGTGTGGTGGAGCATGCCTGTAATCCCAGCACTTGGGAGGATGAGGCAAGAGGATTGCTATGAGTTCAGGGCCAGCCTGGGCTACAAAAAAAAAAGGCCACATGCTGTATGATTCCATTTATACAATGTTCTCAGAATGACTGGAGTATAAAGATAGAACACAGATTATTGATTGCCAAAATACAGAGATAGCAGGAAATAAGAGGGGTGAGAGGGGTACTAAAGGGGTTGTCTTTTAAGGCAAATCTTTGTGGGGATAAAATATTTCAGTATTCTGACTGAGAGGGTGGTTACATGAATCTGCACCTATGGTGAATATCAAAGAACTACACAATGTACTAATGCCATTTTCCTGGCTTTGACACTGGACAGTAGTTATCCAATCTGTAATAACTGGGGAAGTCATATGGTGTATGAATTTCTATGTGCTAACTTTGTAACTTTCCATGAATATATAGTTACTTCAAAAAAAGTTAAAAATTTTCAATATTTAAAATGGCATGTGTCTCACCAGAGCAAAGCTAAAGAGAGAATCAGCAAGTTGTAAATACGTCAGAATAAAGTAGAGAGATTTTAAGAAGGGATGGAAAATGCATAAACAAGCAAAAGAGATATTGGGTGCTCAGTAGAACACTCTAACATATGTGTAATCACAGCTACACATTAAGAGAGAAAAAATGAACAGAAGTAACTTTGAGAAGTCAACAGGTATTTCCCAAAACCGATAAGACAGCAAGTCAAATTTGAGAAGTGCTGTGAAACTCAAGCAAAGCAAGCAGAAAGAAAACAAGTCTCTTTGCTTCACTGTAGAACTGTCTAAGAACAAGGGTGAAAAGCAAAACATTACCCAAGCAGGTGGAAAGGGAAGTAGGAGTCACACTGCCACATTATCATTACACAGTCAAGAGTAAGACTGACGGCTGACATCTCCGTAGAACTCATTGGTGAAGGAAGCCAGTAGACATATATGCAGCTGCCACCTTAGAATTTTATACCTAGCAAAACTATCATTCAAAAGTGAAGCCAAAATAAAGACATTTGCAGAAAAACAAAGACAGAGGCAATCCACAGCATCAGACTCACACTAAAAGAAATTATAAAGAGAAATCTTTAGACAGAAGAAAATAATGGCAGAGGGAAATGAGAAAATAGAGGGGCTGGGGATTTAGCTCAGCGGCATAGCGCCTGCCTGGCAAGCGCAAGGTCGGGAGTTCGATTCCCGGTACCAGAAGAAAAACAAAAACAAAAACAAAAAAATAAAATGACATAAAACACCTGATTAATCCAAGACAAAAAAGTAAAAAAAAAATTGTATAAGAAGTATATGATTAAAAAAAGAAGTATATGATAAAGTAGTAAAATGGTAGATGACATTTAAAAGTATCAGTGGTTTCCTTATGTGTAATGGGACAGAATAGGCAACAACTGTCACAGTGGATTTAAAAATGAATTTTATAAAGAGCAGCACTCATGTACTGATGACACAGGAAACTCCTTAAATGTAAGAGAACAGGAAAGATGAAGCCAAAGGGTGAAAAAATGTATCAGGCGAACACCAGTGGAACTCTGAGGTAATGGCAGCAAAAAGCATCAGACAGTAGACTGCAGCGTGAGACCATCACTAGACATAAAAAGATGTTTCTGACCAACAGCATTTTCATGAGGGACAGATGACAATTCTAAATCAGCGTGAACCTTGTTACTGTTCTTCAAAATCTACGTAAAATCTGAGAGCTATAAGAGAAGAAATAGACACACCTACCATCATAGTGTGACGTGGTAACAGACCCTCTCGGTAACTAACTTGCATTTCTGTGGTTGTTGGAGGATCAGAATTGGTGTTATGTTCTCATCAGCTTTCTTTATGATTGTATTTGAAACTGGATCTTGATATATTTTACATTGGAATTTTGATATCATCTTCTTGATATATTTTAAGTAGGAATTTTGCCTCTATGCTTATTGATATGTAAGCTTTCTTTTATTTTAAAATTTACTTGATAACATTATGCTGTAAGAAGTTCTTATCAGTGTTTGTCTTTTAATTTTACTTACGAGTTTGGTAGTTTTTTTGAGGCAAGATCTTGCTACATAATTTAGGCTGGGCTTGAACTCACTATGTAGCCAAGGCAACCCTCTTGTCTCAGCCTCCATGCTACTGGGACTACAGGTATATGTCACTTTGCCTGGCTTTGTAATTTTTATAAAATAAAATGTTCTCATCACTGTCTGCCATATTTCTCTTGTTGCTTTCATTCCTCAAATCTAAAGGAGGGTATTTCAACAGATTTGATTTTTCCTAGATAGTCGAGTGACTCTTCCTATTGAAACTACAGGTTCCAAAACTGTAAGTAGGATTCTCTCAAATAATACTGAAATTGTACATGGAAAGTTTAAAGGTACGCTTCTCTTCTGACCTGAATGATCTTCCCTTCAAATCCTGATTTATTTGAGGAACAGAGTCGCTGCACCATGCCCACAGGTTCCACATCCATAGCTTAATCAATCATGCGTCAAAAATATTTCAAAAGTGAGCACCTATGCTGAGCATGTGGACATTTTTCTTGTTATTCTTCCTTAAATAATGCATCGTAACAACTATTTCCATGGCATTACACTGCATCAGGCATTACGAGTCAATCACAGACTAAAGTACAGAGGAAGCCTATGTGTGATTTATATACAAATCCTATGCGCAGCTGGTGTTTTTAGCACCCGGGGTCTTACAGTGTTTGAGTGTCCTTGGGTTTGCGATCTGGGGATCTCTGGGGCGAATCTCCCACAGACAGTGGGGAACGACTGTGCTTTCTGAACCTTTGCTGAGAGTCAGGCACTGTGCCAGGAGCTAGTGTAGACCCACCGAGCCGTTTCTCAAGCTGCGCACGTATCAGAATCCTGAGGTTGCTGGGCAGATCTCCGTCGCCTGCTCTGTCCCTAGAGCCGCTGGCCACAGTGATTGGGAAGCACGGCGGTTTTTAAAAGCTCCCAGGGGACTCCAACGCCAGCCAGGCTGAGCACTGGAGCGGGCGCAAAGGTGGGACAGTGATCCCGCCCACTCGCTCTACCACTGCCTTGGCCGTGGACTTGCGGAATCACACTGCACGCCCCCCCCACCCCGTCTCTCCCACTGTGCGCCTCCATGTCTTCTGAGCACACTCGGTCTAGGCAACCACGCCTGCTGTTCAGTGCTTATTTGGCTCACCCCGGACATCCCTTGCTACCAAGAGCACTGACCATGCCTCAACAAGCTGTTAAAGGATGGTCACCTGCTGTCCTTTTGGACAATAGGGGAAACAAAACTCCAATGCTTCGGCCTAGTGGAACCCTCCAAGCTCAGCCTGGCGTGGCGGTGCACCCGTCATCTCACCACCCTGGGAGGCTGAGGCAGAAGGGTCACAAGCCTGATCGCAGTCTGGGTAATTTTGCAACCCGGTGAGGTCCTGTTTCAATGTAAACAGTACTGGGGATGCAGCTCGGGGGACAACACAAGTCCACCTGGCCTAGGACCACTCCAGTAGCCTGCAAGGTGGCTGTGACACACACACACACACACACACACACACACACACACACACACACGCTCCCCAGGTCCCCTCACGCCCAGCACCAGGCAGTGACTTACAAAGAAGGGAATCAGGCCGGCCGCCTTGTCCCGCTGCAGGGCTTCCTGCAGGGCAGCGGCTCTCATGGAGAAGTTGCTGTCGGAAGGGATGGGCTTTAACTTCACGCCTCCGATGAGCCCGGCCCTCTCCACCGAGGAGTGCGCCTGGGAGGAGGAGGGAGACGGCGGTGGATGCGTAAGTGCCTAGTAGAGACACAGCTTCTCTTGACTTCTTTTTCTTTTGCAGTACTGGGATTGAACCCGGGACCTTTGCCCTGAGCTACATCCTCAGCCCTTCTTTTAGTTTTTATTTTGAGGCAGCGACTTTCTAAGTTGCTAAGCTGCCCAAGCTATGCTCAAACTTGGGGTCCTTCTGCCTCAGCCTCCCACAGTGCTAAGATTACGGATATGTGCCACCAGGCCTTACTTTTTTTTTTTTTTTAACATAGTTTTGATCTGCTGTTGGTCAAATCTGCAGACATGGGTCCTGTGGATTTGGACGTAGCACTGTGGCTGGATGGTGCCTGGTCCACCAACCTCAGAGCCGCTCAGCACAGTCTGCTTTTCAGGAAGCCCCACCTTGGGCCCTGCGTCCCCCCAGTCTCTCACCTGACCCCCCCACAGGGCCCAGACACCACCCCTGTGGGAGTGGCTTTCCTAGCCTACTCCAGGCAGAGCGGCCCCATCAGGCCGTCAGCCCCGCCCCTCCCGGTGGACGCTGGCTGCCACTCTGTTCAGGGACCACTCCAAAGGACATTCGTGACGCGGGGTGACAGGGCATGCAGCAGGGCCAGCCTCGGAAGACAGCCAAGAAGCTGTGACCCCACCCTTGTTAGGGTGGGAATGGCCGTGAACTCTGAAGCCTCTGAGGACAGGGACAATGGGGTGTGAACCCAGCAAGGACACCTCATGCTGGCTTCCGGCTCGGCCAAGCCCGCAGGAGGCTGCGTGGGGGTGGGGTAGCGGAGTCTGGGTGGCGGTGGGAGGGGCTGGGGGTGGCACAGCGGTGCCGTACAAAGGCCCAGGGCACCCAGCGCCCCAGAGCAGCCTGTGCTGCCCACGCCAGCTCTGTGCAGCCAGCTGTGGCCCCGGGCCCACGGCAGGGCCGGCCACTGTCCACACACACGGGGCCGCCGCCACCCGTGGAGCAGCCACCGGGCCGGGCTGAGCCGGGCCCTCCCTGAAACACATCCTTCCTTCCTCCTGCCCTCGCTGGACCCACTTCTCTGGCCGGTCCCTCCTGAGCCAGTGACTGGTGTCTCCTCGGTACATGGTGACATGTCCCATGTCACACGCTGCTCCTGGGAAACCTGGTGGAGGCCCAGAGGGGAGCCCTGTCTAGAAAACCATCTCCAGGCCTGCAGGGACCCCACGGGGAAGAGACACCCCGACACCCTCACAACTCTCTCGGCGTGTGGCCATGTTCCTGTTTTGGCTGCTTTTCTAAGCTTCCTGGGAAACAAAGGAGGCATAAACACAAAGGATAACGTTCTCCCTGCGTAAGTGGAATCTCAGTGCCTGGAGTGAGGACACACAGAGACATAATCCTCCTAATTAAGCACTGAAATGTGGGTGTTGCATTTATTGCAGGCTGTCCAAATGCGCGGCTTAAGGAACTCGGTAGAGGAAAGCACGCTGGCAGAGCGGAGTCTGAGACTCCCGGTGGAACCCAGTTTCCCGAGCGTGCTTCCGCACCTCCACCTTCCCGGGGGACGTGTGCTCTCCTCATGCGGGCCGACCCCTCTGCACTGGCTCTTCCTCACATGCTGGGTTTCCTGCTGCAGTTTACTGTGGGTTCACGGGGGCTTCCTGCTCTTCCTTCTGCATCCTCCGAGCACTGCAAGCCCTCCCTCAGGGGCCCGGCGCGGGTGAGCAGGGGGGCTGAGTGGCCACGCACAGATGGCGCGGTGCGCCCCGTCCGACAGTAGAGACAGAGGCCCTGGAAAGCATGTGACCGCCTGAGACCCAGAGCTTGAGGCAGGCATGGGGACTGGAGGGGAGGCCTCCGCCCGTGCCCGCTTCCTGCTGGGAGGCGGGCTGCAGGGGCTTAGGAAGCCCATGCCGGGGGCAGCCCAGCCCGGCCAGGAGAGCTCTCATCCGCTCTCACGCCTCTCAACCCTGGCCTTGCCCGACACGCTGCTCTTGGACTGGAAATGATGCTGAGCTCACGGGGAATCGGATCTCAAGCTTGCGGGGCTCAGGCCAAGCTCCCGCCCGCCGCACTGACCTGGTCGGAGGAGTAGGCCACCAGCTTCTCCATGATGGCGGCCTGCGTCAGCTCCGGGAAGGCGGCCTGCAGCCGTCGGGTCACTTTGGTCCGAGCAGCCAACAGGGCCACCAGGGTGGCTTCACTGGCACTCCCCTAAATCCCAGAGAAAGGTCCAAATGAGATCCAAAACACACTACAGTCCCAGCACTCGGGAGGCTGAGGCAGGAGGATCACTGTGAGCTCCAGGCCAGCCTGGGTTACATAGTGAGATCCTGTCTCAGAAAGAAACTCACAAAGCAGCCAAGGACTCGGTGTCTGAACTGTTGGAAGACGTACTATTCCACGTCCACAGTTTTCTTAAAAGATGGCCCTGAAATCGCAAAGATCACTCTTTCTTGCCCAAGGACGTTCTGACTTTGGGGAGGTAGGTCTGACGCTGGTCCCTCCTGAATTGTGAATTGTGTCTCCCCAAAGCATACACTGCAACCCTAACCTCAGTAGCTCAGAATGTAACTGTTTACCCAGGGGATCTTCAGAATGAAGATTCAGTGACAAGGGACCTTCAGGGCGGCCCCAGTCAGTGGGTTCGGTGCACGGGTAGGAAGGAGAAGTTAGGTCCCAACCCCCCCCCCACACACACACACACAGACGGAGACCATGGGGGACCTAGCGGGAAGGTGGCCTTGCGAGCCCCGGAGAGGCCCCCGAGGAAACCCCCGCCGCGCCTGGCCTGGATCTCGGCTCCCAGGACTCAGACGCTGCAGAGCTGCACTGCGAGCCACCCAGCCCTCGCTTTGTCCCGGGAACGCTGGGGTAGGACACAGACAGCGCCAGCCGCGCGTTCCAGCCAAACGGCACGGGACCCTTCTGAATCCTCCTTGGAGGTGCAGCGGTGCTCAAAGTGTTGCCCCCCTTTTAATTTGTAAGATAATCCCATGTTAAAATATTTGACAAACAAGAGAAAGTGGGTTGTGTTCTGACAGTGAAACAGGGCTATAGCATTACCGAGTGCCATAGAGAAATACTCAACGCTAAGTGGAAATGCTGACTTGTACTGACACTCTTTTTTGGTAGCACCAGGGATAGAACTCAGAACCTTTGCAGTGCGCTATATTCCCAGATTTTTTTAAATTTTTATTTTTAAATTAAGACAGAATCTCACTAAGTTACTACATTGTTCAGGTTGGGCTCCAATTTGAACTCCTCCTGCCTCAGCCTCTCAAAGTGCTGGGATTACAGGTGTGTACCACCACGCCTAGCTCCTATTAACATTTTATCCTTCTTTCATTAATTCTGATGTGCTTTTCCGATTTTTACAAATTTACTGCATTTCCTATTATTTTCAGCCAGCTCCTACTCCTGGGGCAATGGGTAAGGTGCAGGATAAATACATCTGCTCGTGTTACCCTAGCTCTAATGCAGGAGTTTGAACAGACAGAGCCCCACTCCTCTGAATTCGGCATGTACGATGGGCCTTGCCTTTCCTTCAGGTTGTGTTGTTCTGCGCCTCTTTGGGTTTTGCTGTCATGAGGAACAGTCTTAGGATAAGGGTCCAGACCACGGGAAAGCACCCGGGATGGCGAAGCACAATGCAACGGAAGTCCCTGCCGGCAGGCTGTGTGTCCCGCTTCTTCCTGGAGCCGATAGTTCCTCCTGTTCCTCCCAGTTTGTCCGTCAAAGATGCTCCCACCGACACAGAACAGGCGGAGGTGGGGCTGCACACGGTCGCCCTCAGCCCTGGGATGTGACCCAGGCTGCCACCTGAACTCTGCTCTGAAACCCAGGGTCCCAGTCTTTTCCCTCTGTCGACCCACAGCCTGAAAACAGGCACGGAGTCCCCGCCGGCTCGCTGCGGGCGAGGGGCCCCGTCACATCCAGGACAGAACACTCCTGTTTACTCAGCTCCAAGCGGCTTTGAAAACAACAAGCCAGAGAACAACCTGGTGACTGAGCCCCAGACAGTGCCAGGAGGTTTGGGCGAGTGGTTTCCCTGTCCAGCGGCTCTTTGGTGAGAGAAGTGGCCCTGGGGCTGCCTGCTGCCTCTGCCTCCGGGCGAAGGTTGCCATGGCGAGGCATTTGGGAGGCTGGGGAGGCACCAACAGGAGCCAGAGCAGCCCCGCACTCTTGTGTCTGATTGTTTCAAGTGTCACCCACATGAGGCAAGAAATTGTTGTCTTTCCTCGCACGCAAGCTTTCAAACCCAATTAAGAGCCTGCTCCTGCAGGCCTGGCTTGTCCAGCCGCACCAGGAGGACTGGCCGTTCGTCCCAGACGCTGTCACCGAGCAGATGACAGATCCGCAGGATCGATAAGGCGGCCGGCTCGGTCTGTCCCCCGGCTCGCTGCTCTGGGGGCTCTCAGACGCCGACATCAGCCCTGTCAGCGGCGTCACTGTCAGGTGGGGGCCGTGAGGAGCCGGGGCTGGGAGGCAGGCGTCGTTCTAACCAAGTCCTAGGGCTTCCTGTGTCTCCTAAAGGCAGCAAGGTCTCTACTGAAAAGACAGTTTAACCCACGGTTGCCTGCACACCTACAAGCTGCAAGCACACGGTCAGGGACAGGCTGGGTTAGCACCAAACCTCCTTCGTACTAATTATTACGTATTATTTCAGTACTGGGGATTGAACCAGCTACATCTCAGCACTTTGTCTTTATTCTTATTTTGAGACAGACTCTGGCTAAGTCACTCAGATGCCCAGGTTGAGCTCAAACTCACTGTCCTCCTGCCTCAGCCTCCACAGGGCTGGAATTACAAGCCTGGGCCGCACAACCAGCTCGTTTTGGTTTGTCTCACTTTTGACCCTGATCATTCTGTACTACCTTTCTGTGCCTCAATTTCTCATCTATGGAAAGACTGTCGATAACATAGTCAATCCTCATAAGCATTTGGGAATGAAAAGGTGATAATATAAAGCGTAAGAAATGGGAGAGAAGATGGCCGAGCCCACAGGTGTCCAATGCGTGTGGCTACGGTTATCACAGATGCCCTTAGGTTACAGGGTACTTGCAAAATTCTCTGCCAAGTATCCAATTGGAAGGTTCATCTTCGGGTTCAGAGAACAACCGAATCTGATGTTGTTTCCTGTAAGGGCCAGTTATTCAGAAGTGCGCTCCTTCGTCCCTGGGTGCATCCCGTTTTATTTTTGGGGGCGTGACTGTCTCACAGGGACACAGCCCGGACAGCCCAGCTAATCCGAGCAGATGGTCCCACCTCCTCCGAAAGGTCGTACTCGGAGATGTGATTAACGGGAGTAGAGACCTCGATACAGCAAAAATATCTCTGGTATTATTTATGTAGGTGGTGACACAGCCTAGGAAGTCAGGCAGTCGTAACATCCTCGAAGAGGATTTGCACAATGGAAAAGGTTCTGAATAAAATAAACAAGCACCATCCAGAAAGGCCCATCTGTCTGCATTATTATCTCAATCCGCTTTACGTGAAGGTCTCAGTCACACGCCGGGCCTGCTTGGGGATCTCTGCGCTGGGTGAGTTGGAGTTCCTACTCCTGGTGGAAGTGGAAATCAGGGCCATGACAAGTTCCCTCTGACTGCTTGCAGGGGGTGCGGGGTGCAAGGACACACCTGCGGTCCCCACAGAGCCCAGACCCTGTCCCCAGAGCCCGAGATGTCGGCCTTGAGGGGGACTCGACTTGGATGGGATCGGCTCAGGTCTCCCTTGTGCGTCCAACCAAGCACCTGGGTCCCTCAGAGTGACTTCTCACCCCGTGCAGAGAAAGAGGCCACCCAGGCAGGAGGATCAGCGAGAAGGACAGAGCTGGCCTCGAAGGTGGAGGCGGGACAAGCACTGCAGGTTCCCGGAAGTCCCTGGAAGCCGGAAGGGGTAAGGAAATGGATTCTCCCCTGGGCCTGCAAGTGCCAAGTTAGATTTGAGCTCAATCAGGCCCAGCTCAGACTTCTGACCTATAAGATAATAAAATCATTGGCAAGCCACTAAAGCCAGGTGTGGTGGTGCACACCTGTCATCCCAGCATCCTGGGAGGTTGAGGCAGGAGGATAGCAAGTTAGAGCCCAGCCCGGGCAACTTAATGATTTATCGATATCCTGTCTCAGAATAAAGGGAACAGGGATGCAGCTCAGTGCAAAGGCCCTGGGCTCAATCCCCAGCACTGGTAAAAAGCCACTGATACGTGTCACTGCAGTAGTAATTTGTCATAGCAACCACAGAAAGTGAGAGTGGACAGGAGCTTAGAGATCCTGGCACCGAGTCTCAGGACCAGAAACCGGGAACACACAGGTGTGGAGCAGCTCGGCCGCCCCCGCCTGGGCCTCCGAGAAAGGCTGCCCCCGCCTGGGCCTCCGCGCACCGTAACTGGTGGTCACCTCCACAGAGAACACCGGGGACGAGAAAAGCGTCCCTTTTCTCCGAGGGTGGCAGTGCTCCCATGCCAGGCTCTGTGGAGACAGGAGAAAGGACAGAAGGGGCAGGGCCCACACAGTCCACGCCAGCCCAGTGACACCTGTCCTGCAGACCCTGCAGGTCCTGGAGGGACAAAGAGTCCCCCACACTGCCTCTGTGTCCTCAGCAGAAGTAAGCAAGGAAGCGCTCGCAGACACGGCAGTGTCCGCAGGGACGCGACCGGCTCTCAGACGGTGGCGCTCAGAGCCAGGAAGCCCGGCCACCACTGTCGCCTGGCCCAGGAGGGCTCTCACGGTGCTGGCCGGATCGAAAGGCTGAGTCTCACAGGTACGTGTGAGTTCCAGCCGGGAGGCAAGGGGCAAGTCCTGTGCCTCGGTTTCCCTGCCCGTCAAACACAGCCCCAAGCCCACAGGGAACTCGAGGAGCCTGGAATGTGGGGGCTCACAGCTGGCACTTGGGGACCCTGCTCAGACGGAGGCTGTACCGCTTTCCATGCTCCATGCCGCCACTGTTCTGTCATCCAGACCAGGGACCCCAGGAGTGGATGCACCCGGATACAGCTCTGCCACTCTGCCTGAGCCCAGCTGGCCCCGAGCTCACCGTGTGTCACCTCTGGGAGACAAGGACAAAGCCGGCAGAACCATGGGCTCCAGTCCCCCCCCGGGTGGCCCACGCAGCCCCTCACCTGGATCACACCTCCGCCCAGGCTGGCGTCCCCGGCCAGGAAGGCATCCGGCAGCCGCAGCATCTTCCCCAGCCAGTCCAGCATCACCGTCTCCAGCTCCGTGCACGCCGGGCTGGCCGCCTGCAGGAGGGGCCGTGAGCCAGTGCAGGGGAGGGGACCCAGGGGCCACTGGGTCCTCTGCCCCTGTGTTTCCCCAGTCTACGAAAGCCCAAGTACTGCAGAGCACAGTAAGAGTGGTGGTGGGAAGTACAGCAGAAGACCAAGGACACGGGCAGGGGATCTGAGGACGGCAGGGAGAGAGAGGAGTCAAAGAGCATCAAGATGCCATGTGTGAACGTCCCAACACCCACCCCAGGTGGGATTCTTACTGTCGCAAGCATAAGCCACTGAGGAAAAACTCTACATGTTTGAATTCAATTTCTAAAACATTAAACATTTATAAAAATTTTAAAAATTTCAAAATCTTCCCACACAGCCCTCCTGAGGCACTGGTGGCTGCTGCCTGTGGGTGTGCTCCAGATGCACGTGTCGAAGGCTGAGATTACCAAGGTTGGGACCTTCTGGGGGATTAGGCCATGCGGGACCCCGCAGTGGTTCGTGACAAGTAGGAGGGACTTCCTGTCTGTCTCAAGCTTGCTTACTTCCCTGTTACAATGGGGCAGGAGGACCCAGATGTCCTGGGCTCCAGAACCCCCGGCCACGTGAACTTTGAGAGTTCCAGAGCTGTGCAGGAACTCACAGCACGGGGCATCTGACAGCACTGACATGTCACCGAGAGGGTGATGCGAGGACATTCCTCCTTCCCTCCCTGGGACACCCCATGTCTGCACAGGAAGCCCATGTCTCCACGTACAGGGCTCTGCTTGCCTCTGTGGGCCTCTCTGGATGCCCATATCTCACCTTTCCCCCTGACTTAGCTGTGACCTGTCCCTGGAGCCATCACCCCCACACACACACCCCGGGTCCTCTAGACTAGGGGCCCCCAGCCCCCAGGCCGTGGTGGGTGCTGCTGGTTCACGGCCTGCTAGGAACCAGGCCCCACACCCTTCACTGCATCCTGGTTGAGCCCCCTCCTGTTAGATCAGCGGCATCAGATTCTCACAGGAGCACGGCCCCTGCGCAAGCTGCATGTGGGAGGAGCCCGGGTTGTGGTCCTTACAGGAACCCAAGGCCTGATGGTCTGAGGTGGAGCTGAGCCGGGATGCTAGCCCTGCGGGGTGCGATTGCTACGAACACAAGACATGCTAATGAAAGAAGAAGCAAGTCTTCACCCCACTCACCCTGTCCCTGTCCCCAGAATGCAGGACACTCACCCAGGAGAAACCGATGCAGCCGATGGCCCCGCACAGCATGTCTGCGAGCATGGCTGGGTAGGAGCTGGCCGTGGGGAAGTAGGCGAAGAAGTAGGGGCTGTGCCAGTGTGTCACCTGCTGAGGCCGGGTGGTCACTTGGGGTGGGGACATGGCCCTCAGTGTGACTGGCTGCCCAGTATGGGTTCCTCTGCTCGTAACCCTAGCCCCCACCCTAACCCTAACCGTAGCTATAACCTTAACCCTAACTCTAACCCTAACCCCTGTACCCTAACCCTTAAGCCCTAAACCCTAAAGCCTAAGCCTAAGCTTTCCTCCCAGTAGTAAGCAGCATCTGCACCCCACCTTGCTGTCCCCACATACACGGACTCCTTTCTCATGCTCAGGTGTTTGCCAGCCAAGGAGGAAATGCTCTCTCCCTAAATGGAGGGCGTCCTTCTCATCTGCCGCAACGCATGGGCCATAGCAAGTGAAGTCTCTCAAAATGGCCCTGCTGCACGGATTCACCAGGTGCTGGGGTCAGCTCCCCTAGCTGTGAGTCCAAAGCTTGCTTTTCCTAAACGAGCTTTGAAAAATTAAGTATAGATTTAAAAGTAAGGCCCCTGATTCCTCAGGTTTCTGCTTTTCAGGTTCCGCCTCCTGCTCCGGCCCCTGCTGTGCAAGGTGCTCCTTGCAGCCCAGCACTCTCTAGAGCCCAGCATCCTCCCAGCTCCCCCGTCCCCAGCCGGGCCTGTTGTCAGGCGTGGAATTGCCCCATGCAAGGTGAGTTCACGTTGGCCAAGATGAAGGCGGCAGTGGGGAGCTAGGTCATTCAGCCTGGGGCAGAGCCACGTTAGTGGACAGGCCCCCCTGCTGGTAACCTGGGCAGGGGAGTCTTATGGGGGGACTTTTTGTGCCCCTCGCTGGCTGCCTTGGAGTCTGAGGCAGGCTGAAACCCTGGCTCCCTCCTTCACCGCCTGTGTGATCTTAGGCGGAGAAGGCATGGTAGGCACTGCGGCCAGGTGCCCAGGAAAGGCTGCTTCCCCGCACCCCTGACCTGGGACCCACACTCACCCCTGGCATGATTATCCTCTCAATGTCCCCGATGATGTCCTCGAACGTCTCTGGCTCCTCAGGGGCACTGCTTGGAAGCAGGGGCCGAAGGTAGCCAGGCTCCACATCGGGGTAGACCAGGCGGCTCTCGATGCCTTCCAGGTAATTGGCCACATAGTCCACCATCTCCTTTCCCCTCCTGCGGAACTCGCTGGCGTCCATGGTCACAGGGGCTCGCGCCAAAGGGAAACTGCAGAGGAAAGGAAACGGGAGGCCCAGGAGTTCCCAGCAAGCAAACAGCTAGGGTCAGCTGGGCCCAGACCCACGGCTCCTGGAGGCCACTCCCTCCCCTCGTCTGGATGAGTCGTGTGACCCTGGGTTGGGACACTGCCCCTGCACCACAGAGGGCAGCGCTGCATCCGTTCGTGTCACTTCCTGCATTGGTGCCACACACAGGAAGTGCACAGAACGTTCACGGTGAGGTCCCGCACTGACGACGGGCTTGTTCATGTTCTGCAAGCTCTATTGCTGCCCTTTTGCAGCCCTGTTGAGGCCGGAGGGAGAGAGGAGGAGTTCCTGGCAGGACTGGGCTGAAGGCCAGAAGGAAAAAGAGAAAGCTGGCTCCCCCCAAACTGCAGAGAACACCTGGTTCTGAAAACTGAAGCCTAGCAGAAAAAGAAAACTAGACACATTTGCTTTGGGCTTGGGGGGGTCGGGGGAGATGAGCTCTTCAGAGCCATGGAGAGCACCCACCCCTAATGACTGCATCCTGCTGTGACACACGCGCTGGAGAATGTGCTAGGAGCCCAGAGAGACTCCAATTATACTTCATTATAACCTCACTTACATGTGCTTCTGACCCCCCAGTGGGCTTTGGGTGCTGCAACCGTTCTTCAAAGGTCCATAGAGGGACAAAAACGCCCCCAGCTGCAGAAAAGAGGAGACTGGTCCCTGGCTGGAGTGAGCTGCCGTACCAGTCCAAGGAGCGGCAGGAGCCACACGCAGATCTATCACCTGGCCCCTACCGGGCCTTCCTCTCCTGCTCCTGGCTGCTCCCACCACAGAAGTGCACAGATCTTCCGTCTTTACTAATAAATCTGTGCTTTCATTTCTCCCTGTGTGCATCCTTCTCGATTTTCTGTTCGGGATGCCGAGAACCTAGAACCGTCACAACCCCAACATCCACACTGTCTGGCAAGGGGGACAAGCGGGGTGTCATGCATTCCCAGATCTCTCCATGCTCCCCAGGGCCCACGCTGGGATTTCTGACAATTTTTTGCGATAGTAAAAGTGTTTTTTAAAAAGGTATTCACCTGACACTTGCTGAAAATGTCAGGACAGGTTTTCTTCGAGACTGGCACAATGGGAGGGGAAAGGGAGACAGAACTCAGCGTGGACTACAGCAGGTGTGGGTGGGGAAATACGGAGGAACAGAACCGGGGTATCCATGGGGTTTAATAGATGGGCTCACACGATCAGAGGCTGGAAGAGCCACAAGGGCCAGCTGCAGCACGATGAGCTGGAGGATCCGTAGATGCTAAGGCCAAGAAGCTGGAAGCCCCAGAACACCAAGGACTAAAGATGCAGCCCCAGTCCAGAGCCAGAGCTTGGGAGCTCGCTGGGGAATTGTTGGTGTGGAAGCTGGATCTGAGGTCCACCGGCAATGGTGGCAGAGGCAGCAGCAGCAGCAGCAGCAACAACAACAACCACAACAAAAACCCACTCCAGTAGAATTGTCCTCGCTTCCTTCCAGGCCTCCAGCCTATTGGGTGGTGCTGCCCATATTTGAAGAATGTCAATCCCCTCATTGGCTGACTCACATGCCAGTCATCTCTGGAAAACCTACAGACACACCCAGGAGGGTGCTTGACTAATTTCCTGGGCTCTCTCAATCCAATCAAGTTGAGATCCAAGATTAACCCTCACAGCAGGGAACTAAGAGGGTCAGCTCAGTGTCAAGGGTGGGTGGGAGCAGACCTGGGTTGGACACCAAGGCTTGAAGCCGAGCTGACTTCTCAGGACTCTGCTCACACAGGCCCAGCAGCCAGGCAGGAAGCGCGTGGGAAGAGCCTGCTGCAGGGCCGCAGAGCCAGCCCGAGCCTGGGTGGCTTCAGAACCTGCGGCTCCCACCCTGAGCTCTGTCTTGCCACCCTTCTGCAGAGGGTTCTAAGTCACGTGAAGGATGCATAGATGATTGTGGGTTACTTCAGGGCTCGATCAGACCCAACCCTATGTAAGAGTTGTCTGATGCACATTTTCAGCCGAGGCGTGCTTGGGTGACAGTGATTGTGACATAAGACCCCGAATGCCAGTGGCGGCGAGTGCCAACTGACAGTAGAGAAAACCACCCTGTCTGAACTTCTGCTGTATCTTTGGCTACAGAAACTAAGGGCCTCAGAGGGTCCTGCTCTCAGCATAAACGTCATGGTGCTTATTTCAGATTCTGCACTGAGAGAGAAGCTTCCTTTTCACCTGTGCTGAAGACGCCTGCAGGTGATGTGACTGGAAGCCCCAGCTCGCTCTGCAGGGTCACTTGCTCTGCGTTGTGATTACTGAGCCCCTGTCCCGGGTGACAAGCGCTTCTCACCATTGCAGGAAGCACACTTCATTACGCACACGAGCCACACCCTGCAGGTGTCCCCGTGAGGGGCCATTCCGATCCTTTCCTGTGTCCTACAGTGGGGGCAAGAGCTGGTGGATCCCAGGGGCTGACAGCCCAAGATCTGGTGCCAAAGGGCTCGTAGTCAGACCCTAGTGCTCATGTTTACTTGCTGAGAGCAACCTGTGCAAATTCTGCCACATCTAAGAAGCCCAAACAAAGCATCACAACAATAACACTACCTGGAAGATGTGTAGAGACAATTAAACACTCACACTGGAGCAATGCGGGAAGTCCACAAAATCACCCAACCGCGGACGTCTACAGTGATATCCTGCCTTATCTGCACTGTGACTTCTCCAGATTCAGTTACTCAAGATCAGCTCTGGTTCACAAATATTAAATGGAAATTTCTGGAAATAAGCATTTCATAAAGACTGAGTGGAGTGCCGTTCTGAGTAGCAGATGGAATCTCACACCTTCCCGCTCCACCCAGGACTCTGAGCATCTGTGTATGTATCCAGCGTGTCCACACTGTGTAAGCTGCCTGCAAGGTAGTTACCTTATTAGCATCGCCATACCTCATGCTTGTATTCAGGTTACCATTATTTTACTTGATATGGTCATTGTTCTATCTTATTCATACTTAACTGCTGGTAATCTCTCACCATACCTAGGTTATAAATTAAACTTCATCATAGTTATCATTGGATAGGAAAAGACATAGGGCACAAAGTTTATTATCTTTGGCATTAGGCATTTATTGAGGGTCTTTGAATATATCTCCCTTGCATAAGGGGACACTTTTTTTCTGTTGGGGTGCTAATATTGACCTCAGGGTCTTCTCACTGAGTTACATCCCCAGCCCTTTTCATATCTTATTTTGAAAGTGAGTCTCACTAAGTTGCTAAGATACTCATGCTGAGCCCAAACTTGCCATCCTCCTGCCTCAGCCTCCCAGAGCGCTGGTATTTCAGGCAGGCATTGTCATGCCCAGCTAGATACTCTTTATTTCATTGTAAGAGTTAGTGTGTCACAGTGTGTCACTATTTCTACCCTATGTCTGCAATGTATTTTGCGGACATTTTCTTTTGGTTTGTTTCTCTTAATTTTGGTTGTGGCTTCATTCTGATTTCTGGCAAAATCTCCATCTTTGCTTTGTGATTTGGAGCTTATGTGAGACCATGATAAATGCCTTTTGAAATGGTGTGGTGGTGTATGACTGCAATCCCAGTGCTCTGGGAGGCTGAGGCAGGAAGATCACAAGTTCAAGCCCAGCCTGTGTATTCTGGAATTTAAGGAAAGTCTATCTAAAAAAATAAGTTAAAAGGGCTGGAGAAGAAGAAAACCCATGGGTTCAGGTCCCATGCAATGGTTGATACATTGCATCAACTTGAGAAGTTTAGAAGTTTAACTAAGTGACTCAGCAGGGGGCCAGGGTCCTTGCTTGGTAAACATCCTGAGCCTGTGCAGGAGGAGGGCGCAGAGAGGGTGTGAAAACTACACCCACCTGAAGGCGGATATCCTGCTTACAATATAAGGGAGGAAAAGAGGCTTGCTTCCCTTTCCTTTTGCTCTTGCTGCTTTTGCTGTCTTCTGCCGCCTTGAACTGTTGTCCTGTGCCACACCACCCTGCCTTGGAGCCAGCTGATTATGGACTGAAACCTCCACAAACAGTGAGCTAAATAAACCTCTCCTTCCTTAATTTTGGGCGTCAGCTATTTTGTCCCAGCAACGAGAGAAAAGTAACCGAGACACCTCAGTACTACAAAGAAACAGGAAGTGGCCTTTAAGTAAATATTGGAGCCAGCTCTACTCCTGCTCTATTTGTGCCATGCAGAAGGAAGCTGCACGCAGTGCCGAAGACCCCACAGGGCGCCGTGCAGAGCGAAGTGAGACCCCAGCTCCGGGCGCAGCCGCCTCCCTGGGGGCAAGGGCAGGGCTGTGTGCAGAGCAGGTGTGTTTAGCAAGCAGAGTGATGAGCACGGGACCCGCGGCTACTCGCTGCACTGGATAGAACCCTGCCAGGGCAGCCTCGAGCAGGGCCTGCCATTCCCTCTCCACTGTCCTCTGCCATTTAATTGCAGACTGATTCCTGGCACCAGCTCTCTGGAGAGACCCCCGGTGGCTGATACCCCTCCCCTCCAGCTGGCCAAGCTCTCGCTCGGAGACACCGCACCTCCGAGTCCGCAGCGTCTGACCTGCTCCGCATCTACTCAGGCACGGCGCACCTCCCTGGGTTCCTGTTTCTTTGACTTTTTAAAATTTTTTTTTGTGTGTGTGGAACTGGGGATTGAACCCAGGCCTTCACTCTGAGCTACTTCCCCGGCCCTTTTCATTTTTTATTTTGCAACAGGGCCTCTCTAAGTTGTCCCGGTTGGTCTCAAACTTGCGGTCCTCCTGCCTCAGCCTCCCAAAGTACTGGGATGAAGGCCTGCGCTGCCACCATGCCCAACCACGGGCACTGGGCCGCAGACAGCGCCCTGGGTGCCTGCCTCTCTCATTTCTGGAAACTGTCTCTGACGTAGCTGATGTCGGACCCTACTCTCCACCTTGGGGCAGCCCACACGTCTCAGACACAGCGCCACAGGGACGGCAGTGGCCCTGGGCCTCCCCTGCGGGTTCCCGGCTCCCCACCCCGCCTGCCCGAGCCTCTGCAGCCCTGGATGAGATTGGACTGGCACGGGGCAGGCGGGAACTCACAGCACCGCAGCCCACTGGACAGCTACAGAGCGGGGTGCTCGGTACCTGTCCATGGTCCTGCCTGACGTCACACGCAGCCCAGCCTTCCTGGATGAAAAGAATAATGAAAAGATGAAAAGAATTTCCCATCCTGATGAAAAGAATAAAGTCAACGTCTTTTACACAATTCCAGGAAAAAACAAAGCCTAATTTATGTTGCAAAAGCCCAGATCTCTGGGGCAGTAGGCCTGCTTCTCTTTTTCTCCCCAAGCACATGGGAATCTCAGCGTCAAACGTGCCTGGTTGACTCTCCCTGGGTTTGCCTGATTTCTCCGGGCCCTCATTTTCTGTGTAAACACTCAAGTAAGCCCAATGGAAAATGCACCCAATGAAGGCCTTAAGGAAGTGTCCAGCCAGGCGGTGTTTGCAGTAACAGGAGCACCTGACCACTGGATGGGCACCTGGCCTCAAAAAAATCCTCCAAGGTTCTCTCTGTCTCTCTGTCTCTCTTTCTCTCTTTTGATTGAACCCAGGCCCTTTTTAAAAAAAAAAAAAAACTGTTTTATTTTGAGACACTGTCATTAAGTTGCCCAGGCTGGGCTTGAACTTGGGGTCCTCCTGTCTCAGCCTCCCAGAGTGCTGGGATTATAGAACGGCAGCATCCTACCTGGCTTCTCTTAGCTCTACAACTGCGGGTTCAGCAACAACACGTCATGAAGGAGCCTTAGGTAAGCGCTGTTGCTGGTGGCCACGAACGATCAGGATAATCCGGAACACGAATCATCAGAACCAGCCTTGGGGGAGTCCACAGAGGTTGAGCCGACCAAGATGGAGGTCGCCCCAGCGACTGTCTGCCCTTCGGCCACCGGCCTTTCCGGCTTCCGGACGTGGGAATACCTCCCTGTCCCTGTTGCCAGGAGACTGGGGGAGGAGTGAGTGGCTGAGTCAGAGACCGGCGTCAGTGAGAGCGCACACCGTCGGTGTCCAGTCCTGTGTGCCTGTGTTTCCAGTCTTACGACGCCCGCAGCACAGACCTCTGCACACAAGACACAGGGGAACTTGGCTGGCGGGGGCCCGTGGCCCCTCCCTCCCCTGCCTGTACCCCGGTGGCTTCAACTCACCTGTCACGTGAGGCGTGTTTCTAGAGAGGAAAGCCCATGGGCATGATTGCGTGTGAGTGCTATCATCCCAGCACTTTGAGAGGCTGAGGCAGGAGGACGCCCAGTGGGAGTCCAGCCTGGGCAGCTTAGAGGCTTAGCAAGACCCTGTCTCAAAATAAAAATAAAATAAATGGCTGTGGTGATCGCTCAGCGAAGAGGCCCTGGGTTCGATCCCTGGGGAAAAGAGATGCAGGGACTTCGCACTGGGTTCACTCTGGTCGGCCCAGCAGGCCGCTCTCTGGCCGGCAGTGCGGGGTGTGAGGTCCCCGCCGAGCTGGGCATGGGGGCAGCGGTCTGCAGGGTTCCTGCTGCTCCTCCACGTGAAGCCCCTCCCTTCCCAGCCGCGGGGCAGAGCAGGCGTCGGGTCCAGCTCAGCTCCCAGAGGCTGCGCAGCTACGGGCCAATGTCTCGCCCTCTCTGAGTGTTTCCTAATGGGATCATGAGATGACTCAGGCAGAAAGCCCTTTGGGCTGTGGACTGGCTGTGCCTTGCCTTTGTCATTACCGATGGAAACACAGGCTGAGCGGGGTGGGTAATTTGACCGTGACAGGAGATTTGCTAGAATGACAGCCCACAGGCCAGCTCGCTGCTCTGCAGCCACGGGGAGCCAAGGGGCTTTCTCCCCGCGCCCGTGTCTCAGTTCTTCAGGTCCTTTGGAATGTGCGCGCTCTGCGTATGCCTGAGCCCAGTATGCACAGCGGTGGTAACAGAGTGCCCCATTTGCCCTGCCTCTGGGGGTGCAGAGCCCTGGGGACCGAGCCCAGGGCCTCACACTGAACACTACCTGCAGCCCTTTTTAAATTTTTTGAGACGTGGTCTTGCTAAAGTCAGAAGTTGTCCAAGCTGGGTTTGAATTTGTAATCCTCCTGCCTCAGCCTCCCAGAGTGCTGGGATTACTTGCCCTGCTCGAGCCTGTGAGCAGGGGCCTCACAGTGTCCCTGTCCACCCAGGCCATGGACTTGTGCCTTCCTCTTTGCACACGGCCGAATCTCTTTCCAGAAGAGCGCTAAGCCTCCCCAGATGTCACCAGCACACACCCATCTCTGCTGGTCTTTCTCGTCCGTCCAATTTTAGATATAAACTGTACCCGTGAGGCCGTTCTGACCACACCGCTTTCATTCGTGCTTGCTGTCTTCGAGAGCTGCCGTAAGAACGCCGGGAGCTTCACTTTAGTGTTTCTCTTTTGCTCCCGTGGTGTTTCCGGCTTAGGGCAGGGGAAGGCGCCCTCAGAGGGAAAGCGCTTGCCCTCCTCTGCAAACAGGGCTCTCCCCCTCTCCCTCACCCCTGAGTCACATCCATGACAGCTGCCTGTCCTGGAGGCCGCGCCAGCTGCAGTAGGCTGGAGCCAGCTGCTCTTTCAAAAGGGCCAGGCTGTCTCTCCGCGGTGCCCGTGTTGGTTTAACGTCTGTACAAACACCGGACAGCTGCCGCGCGGGTCTGCTCCTCCGCCTTTCCCCTCTTTGCCGAGTCTGGATTTTCTTTCCTGGATTTCATCTGGGGTAAATATTGACCTCTTGATTCACTATGGACACTTCCTTCTTCCCTGGACCACAGGCCTCCGGTCCAATGCCCGGGGTCACTAAGAAGCCGATGCTGGGGGCTCCTCCAGGTCAAATCCCGAGGGGTCAGCAACCTCTGACTGCCACATCCTTGTCTCCAAAATGAGCCCTCAGTACCGCCTGGCTTCCTGTCACTCATCCGGTCACTGTGAGCACACCCAAGCTCTCAGGGGCTTTGGCCACCAGGTGACCATCTGGAAGCCAGCTGCGCAGCACCCTTCCGGCACTCTGCCCTGTCATCACAGTCTGAGCATCACAGTGGACCCCAGGCCCCAGCGCGGGTCCCGTGGTGCCCGGAAGTGCTTTCCCCCTCCTCCAAAATGAGTGTGTGGCCGTGCTCTGGGCCCAGGGCCGGGATGCACCTACAGTCTCTCTGTCTGGGTCAGGTAGCTCTGCAGAGGGGAGGAAGTGGATGCAGGGAGGCCAGGCTGTCCACACAGCTCCCAGGGTCCTGAGCAAGACCAGCCTGCTGCCCCCTGCCCAGCAGCCCTCAGTACCAACCGCTGCCCGCCTGCCTGCTGGTGCCTCTAAGCTGACCCGCTCTCTTCCTCCAGAAATTCCTCCCAGCGTCTGAGAAGGATGGGGGCTGCCCTCCTGAGCCACGGGGAGCCCATCTCCCTGGAGCCCCTCCCAACCATGTACCCAGAGAGCTAGCGCAGCCTGCAGAAGAGCCCCGCCTGCTCGGGTCCGAGCGGGCCGCCGCGTCTGCGCTCTGCTGGTGTGGAAGGAGGGTGCTGCTTTGATCTCCCCCGTGCTGGCCAGAGCAGAGGCCCGACTGCCGGGTGCTGGGAGACAGGAAAGGGGGCTTTGGGGACCAATCCTGTCCCCTGGGAAATGCCCAGATGCCTTCCAGGGACACCGGCTGGCTGGCACCCTGGCTCTGGGATGAGGCAGCCTGGGCCCGAGAACCCCACAGGTTGCCAGCTGGAGCTCAGGGTGGCTGTGAATGTGGATGCACCCTTCCCAGCCCGAGGCGGCCCCAACCCCGCCATGGGCACCTTCGCTGTGGTCCGTCCCAAGGGAAACACCCTCATCGGAAGAGCTCTGCGGGGGGCAGGGCTCTGCAGGCCTCTGAGAGACAGAAAGCTCAGGTCCCCTGCATGCCTTTCCCTTGGACCCGGAGACGCCTGCAGGGCATGCTGGGTGCTGGGCGGCGTTTTCCACGCTGAGACATGTTTCCACCCATGGTGCCTTTGCTTGCTCATCATAAAGCCCCCCGCTCCTTTGGACCACACTAGAGACTGAGTCCAGGGCCTTCACACTGAACTACCTCCCCAACTCTTTTTGACTAATTTACATTTTAAGATAAGTTCTCACTGTGTTGCCCAAGCTGGACTCGAACTTGTGAGCCTCCTGCCTCAGCCTCCCAGAGTGCTACCATTACAGGTGTGCACCACCACACCTGGTTAGCTCCAAGTTATTGAGCACCTACTATGTGCCTGGCCCTTTACAGAGGCGTGTGATGCACGCAGTCAGCTGACCTCCTCCGCCCACAGAGCGCACTGAGTCACCTCCGCCGCAGCGCCTCCCTCCCCACCCCAGCGGATGCCTCTGTGGCTCCCTGTGCCCACGAGCCAGCCTGGAAATCACGGTCCCTGCCCTTGGCTGTGTCACTGCAGCTGCCGGGAAACTGGGCTCCGAAGCCACCAGAAGTCCCTGGCTCTCTACTGGACTTGTTGCTTAGGAGAGACTCCAAACACCAAGCTGGCCTTGGTTGGTGCCTAATTTTGCAAAAGTTCCCAGATCACAGCGTGACGCTTGCCCCCAGCAGTGTCTCCTCCCCCGAAGGCAGAGGACCAGCACAGCAACAGCTGCGCACCGCCCTCCCGACCCCAGAGCCGGCCGGCCTCGCAGGAGCCCCGAGCTCCGAGGACAAAGAGCAGTACTCACGGGCAGTGCACTCGCGCCGCCCTGTCCGCTCGCGCTCGCTCCGCTCCCCGTGACAGTGGAAAGGCACACGGAGCGATTGCCATTTATGTAGACAAGTGTCTGCGCCCTGAAGCCAATCAGCGCGGCCGCCTCTGCATATTCACCCGAGCATCTCCCCTCTGCGGTGCCTCCCAGCGCTCGGAGCTCAGGAGGATGGAGGCGGACGGAGCGCCGTGGGGATGGCCAGGGAGGGACGGCCCGGGTCCCCGGCCGCTGTGTGGACACAGACTGGGGGCCCCGCTCAGGGCATCCTCTGGAGCTCAGAAGCCACCGCAGCACTCTGGGCGGGGGAAGAGGTCCGAGGCCCGCTGCCCACGGGGGTTGTGGGGCCCTCCCCTCTGCAGACCTGGACACTTGGGCACCCGCTCCTGATCAGGCAGAGATGGCAAGGCCAGGGAGCATCGGAACAGGAAGCCAGATGTGCCTACCCCCGAGTCCTGCTACGCTCCAGGCTGCCAGCATCCAGGGCACCCTCAGGACCCTGTCTCTCCCTACGGGGTGGCAGGGGTGGTAGGGGAAAGCACCCCGTCCCAGACTGACCACCGCAGAGCGGCGCAGGGCTAAGGCCCTCTCGAAAGCACAGCAGAGGTGTGTGGATCCGGAGAAGGGGCAGGCTGGGCAGACGCGGAAGGTGAGGACGGGTTGTTCTGGGAGCAGCAACATCCGGACTCCTCTGCCCTGGCCCCTCACTCACACACAGAGGAGCACGCGTGCTCGCAAACACACACACACACACACACACAGAGGCACACACGTGCAAACATGCATGCAGCCCACACATACACACACGCACGTATTTGGGGATGCACACATGCACCCGATGCATGCGCATGCACACAGGCAGGCACTACACACACACACACATGCAGGTATACATATGCATATGTGTGCATACGTGTGCCCACTCGCAACGCTTGAACATGAAAACATGCTGGTGTGCGCACATGCATGCTTGGTGCACATATATACATGCATGTGCGTGGCATATGTGTTCTGCATGCGTGCCCACAGGACACGTGTGTGCATGCTGTGTACAGCACACACGCATCACACCATCTGCACAGAGTCGCAAGCATGCTGACGGCTGCGTCTCTTCCTGCAACGTGCGGTCGTTCTTAACTCCTGAAAGCTAGGGTTTTGGTTCTAGGAGCACTGGATCACCCCGGCTCCCACTCCGTGAGCTGATCTGCAGGGAGAGCTCCGGGGCAGCCGGGCTTCGCCTCCTCTTGGCTCGGCCCAGACAGCAAGGCCCGGGGCTGGGCCCTGCCCTCCTGGACCCACCAGCCGCTCCCCTGAGGGAGGGGACTTTGGGCTAACCCGCCTGCCACAGCTGCCAGGGCTCATGCCAGCCTCCTCCCGCTTCTGTCCGAGTTCACCCACTGGTGAGCCGGGCTACGGTCAGAGAGGAAGAAGGAGAGTCCTTCTCCAGATGGAGCCAGCGCAGCGCCGACACGCAGGAGCTGCTGACTCTCACCTGCTGCAGACCCAGCGTCTGACCTCGAGGGCTCCGTGGAGCCTTCAAGGGGCACGGTCACCTCTGACTTCACATTGCTCAGGAGACGCCGTGGACATCAGGAGAGGCCCTCAGGGGCCCACAGGTGCTAT